GAATAGATAATATTAGCTCCACGTTTATCGCTGAAGTTCTTCAGCGATCCTTGATTGTTGTCAGTAGTGAAAGACAGATAGAGATAGCTATTTACAAATCAAGATACATCGCCATCAGTAGAACAAAACCCCAGTTAGAGTAACTACGCCGAAGTACGCCGTAGTTACACCCCTTTCGAAGTCTGTGCCCTCCTGGTTGGGTGAGACATCGATTAGAAGGACCAAGTTAGCTGAGGTTCGTCGACCGTCGGTCTGTTAGAAAGTAGTTGTTCGACGGCCGTGACAGTATCAAGGATCGCTCTTACTGACCACCCGTGCGAACCTCGGAGAAGTACTAAGATTCTATGGAACCAGATAGGAGAGTTACGCGAGGCATGAGTAGGGATGGAGACAGGATGGAGGAGAACGAAAGGAGGGCACTGGAGGAGCTGAGCAGAGCGATGGGGCAGGAGCTTGGAGTGGAGGATAGTGTGGGGGGATCAATTCAAGGAGATGAGTTCGTTCCACCAGTGTTTTCTAATCCTCCTACCCCTTCGGGTAATGCTCTCCCACCTATAGGATCCCCAGTTGGATCGGATCAAACCCCACGGCCAGAAAACACTGGAAGTACGGCGAACTTGGGAGAAGAAGGTACACAAGGGGTGATATTGGCCTTGATGCAGATGGTGGCGAATATGAACAAAGACATGATGGAAGAGAGAAGGCGTAGGGAGGAGTGGGAGCAGAGAAGGGAAAGGGAGACGGTGGGCGGTATTGCAGAAGGGATATCAGAAGGGGTGAGGTACGCCATGGGACGACAAACTTCGGCAACCCCAAGCGTAGTTGGCAAACAACGGAAGGGGATAAAACTGCCTAATCCGGATTTCTGGAGAGGAGAGAGGAACAAGTTGACCGCATTCCTGTCGGAATGTGAAATCCATTACGAACTGAACTCTCATCTCTTCCCCAATGACACCAAGAAAGTCTTTTTCATGATCTCTCATTTACGCGAAACACCTCTTCTCGCTGTCCAACCCGATCTTGCTAAACGACCTCTTCCTGACTATCTTAGGGAGTATAATCACTTCGTTAAATATCTCAAGACAAACTTTGGCGACCCGGATGAAGAAGGAACCGCAGCCCGACTGCTTAACGATCTAAGGTAGACTGGGTCAGCTTTGGAGTACTTCTCCGCCTTTCAACAACATGTGGCGATACTCAAGTGGTCTGATGACGGAAACCTGGTTGACCGAGCCAAGAAAGGGTTGAAACCACACCTCCTAGATGAGATTGCTAGACATGGTAAATCTTTTGGGACTGTCAAGGAGTTATTGGAGTTTGTTATTCCCATGGACAACAGGTTGTGGAGAAGGAAAGTGGAGAAGGATGCGGAGAAGAAGAAGGAGTCGGGGGTAAGGGAAGTGCTAGTGGGGGATAGCCAGAGGGTGGAGAGGAAAGAGGAGAAAAGAGGGGAAGGGAGGCAAACTTCGGCGCAGTCTGCGGTGCAAGCGACTATTACGTCGACGCAGGTCAAGAGCATTCCGTCAAATGCTGACGAACTTCGCCGACAATGGCCCAGGCCACCTCCCGAGCTGAGGGAGGCAAGGAAGAAGGAAGGGAAGTGTACTGAGTGCGGGGAGAGGGGACATTGGTTGAGGGATTGCCCGGTGAGGGCAGCGAAGGTAAAGGTCGGATGGTTGTCTCCGTGGGGGGAGAAGTTCGGCGAACGTGGTGGAGGATCGGGGGGTAACGCAGTACCTCTGGGACAGAGGAGGAACTTGAACGCAGTTGGAGGAGATGGAGAGATGGAAGAGGACCAGGGAAAAGAAGAGGACCTGTCGCAGTAGGCGAGGCTCGGCGGGTCCGCCATATTCTCTCGGCCACCATTCCCAAACCTATAAAAGAGACACAGCTGATGGAGTCAGAGGATTGTGCATACAAAAATACACCACTCAGTACCCCCTGTTCATGCAATGTCGATAATCACCTACTCATCTCTTCCACTTCTAGGGATCAACCTAAATCGGATATTTTTATTAATGGAATTAAGCTAACTACGCTCTGGGATACTGGGGCTACTTGCTCATATATAAGCCCTAGGGCCGCGGCGAAGGTAGGTGTGGAAAGGAGACGATACCAGGTGAGCGTACCCGTTCACATGTTTGATGGGTCGGTTAGTGTCGCTGGACCTATCACCGAATTTGTCGAAGTTGGTTTTAGTTTGACGAAGGACGCCGAAGTGCGATCTGTTCGTCTAGATGTAACAACGCTCTACGATGCAGATGTTGTGATAGGGTGGGACTGGATGAGGAAGGAAGGGGTTGTTCTAGACGGAAGAGACAACTCGGTGAAGTTCCCCATCCCAATCCCACCGAGTGCGGCGAAGTTAGCAGCCATAGGGCTGCCAACTCCGACGGACGCGATAGATCTCCGAGACGAAGATGACCAGGATGAACTGAGTCCGGAGGAACAGGAGGAATTGTATCAGGTGGTTCCTGAGCAATATCACCCCTTCATTGATGTGTTCAACCCGAGGAAGGGAGGTGAAGTATTACCTCCCTCAAGGGAATATGATCTGGAATTTGACCTTAAGGAGGGGGCGAACCTGAAGGTTGCTCCACTCTACTCACTCGGAGAAGATCAGAGAAGTGCGCTGAGAGACATCCTAGATCGCGAAACATCGGCCGGAAGAATTCGACCCAGTAATTTGCCCTACGGATCACCGATGTTCTTGGTACCGAAGAAAGCAAAGGGTCAATGGCGAATGGTCATTGATTACCGAAAATTAAACGAAGCAACGATATCCGACGCCTATCCACTGCCTCTGATCGGCCAGATAACCGAAGAGCTGGAAAAAGCGAGGTATTTTAGCAAATTAGATCTGATTGGAGCCTATCAACTCCTACGAGTAAAGGAAGGACACGAGCACTTGACGGCGTTCAGGACTCAGTACGGTATGTTCGAGTCTCTTGTTGTTCGAGATGGTCTGCGAAATGCTCCCGCTGTATTCCAGCATTTTCTGAATGAAAGCTTCCGAGAACTGTTGGGGAAAGGAGTAGTTGTCTACATAGATGATATACTCATCTATGGTCAAACGTTGGAAGAATTGAGAGGAACTACGGCAAAAGTGTTCGAAGTTCTTCGAAGGTCGAATCGGTTTGTCAAGGCTAGTAAGTGCGAGTTTGAAAGAGATTCGGTAGTCTTCTTGGGTTTTGTGGTCTCGCGGGAGGGAGTTTCTAGTAATCCGGAGTACATCGACGCTGTTGTGTCGTTTCCCCGCCCCAAGAACCTAAGAGAGAGCAGAGGATTTATGGGAGTTGTTAGTTATTATCAGCGCTTTGTCCCCAGCTTCTCTAGGATTGCTAAACCGATCAATGATCTCACAAGGAAGGATGTACCGTTTGTCTGGGGAATTGAGCAGGAAAGAGCCTTTAAAGAATTGAAGGATAGGATATGTAGGGCCCCAGTATTGGCTCACTTTGATCCCTCGTTGAAGACATTACTACAGACAGATGTGTCGTTCTTCGGCTGGGGCTTCATAATATCGCAGTGAACGAGTTAGGACAAGAACATCCCGTGGCTATCGAGTCAGGAGCGTTTCAAGG